ACAGGAAGAAAGAGAGAGGGATAGAAAGCTAGAAACATCGGTGAGAGAGAAACATCGATCAGCTGCCTCTTGCACACCCCCTACTGGGGATGTGCCCGCAACCAAAGTATATGCCCTTGACTGGAATCGAACCCGGGACCTTTCAGTCCGCGGGCCAATGCTCTATCCACTGAGCCAAACCGGTTTGAGCTCACTACAGCTTTTTTTTAAAAAGTCTTTAAAAGTATCAAAAAGATTTCAAATATCCACCAATAGGGAACTTTGTTTAAAAAGATTAAATTATGACACACCCAAACCTATTAAAAACTAGGTAAATTTATTGAGATAGAACCCAGTCCCACATATACTGATAACAGCAAATTGCTGAACAGCTCATATTTTGTGATAAAAAGTTTTAAAATATTAGCAAAAGCATATCTATTGTACATAGTTACATAAGAGGGCTTTACCTGTCTACATTACATGTTCTGCGCTTGAAATTACTACAATAGCATTTACTTTCATGACCACAATGTGATTTTGTAAATGTGCAGTAACCCTAAGAGGCAGAACTTCAGCAGCTACAGAGGAGAATCAAACACAGAACTTGCACAGGGGACCTCATTTAGAAATGTACACATGCTCAAAATTACCCCAGTTCTCACAGAATCCCCAGTAGGGGGTGTGCAGGAGGCAGCTGATTGATGTCTCTCTCTCATCGATGTTTCTAGCTCTCTATCCCTCTCCCTTCCTCTCTGTAAAAAAATCAATAAAACATATATATTTTTTAAATAACAATAAAAAAAATCAAAAACTCCCCAACATGTTTAACAAGTACCTCTGGATAACAAAATGAGAGAACGGTTTCTTTATTCTTTTCCGTGTCTTCTGAACTCTCAACAAAATATACAAATGATACTTTTACATTGCTTTTTAAAGTCTTAACCACGACAGGAAGGGTTTACGTTAAAGCTGAAATTTTACTGAAGCCAATACCATTCCTTTAAAATCTATTAACTTTTCATATTCTGTTTTTTCTGAATAAGATAATATTAAAATCAATCTCTGGCTCCAAAGATGCCACCAAGGAGCCTGACAGCAGGAGGCACTGGCAGAGTGAACTGTCAGGACCAGATCGGGGCTGAAACGCAGGGAGCACTGGAGCTCATGAACTCAAGGCTCGAGTTGCGTTCAGAACACGAACCAAGGGGCAGAGCCAGCAAAGCTGGACAGGCTCCCAGCCCACCGTCTGTCAGCGCCCAAGATTCTGACAGGGAGAGTCAAAATGAAAGAGTGGTTTTCTTTAGGAAACAATTCTGCCAAAAACATGCAATGTAAGTAATTTAAAATAGTCAAGACATATGCACGACTGACTCCAAATGGCCATTAGTATGCTTTGTAGGATAGGATATAAGAACTACCTCCAACTACGTAATGTTAGCTGACACTCAAGACAAAACCTCACATATTCAACGTCCCGCTATTTTCTGATTGTACCAAAAAATAAACAATCAGAAAATTATTTCTTATAAGTTGGGATGAGGAAGAATTTCATCCTTCTCAAAAATGTTTCTAGAGCTACTAAAAACAACTTGCATTTGCAAACTAGTTGATAAAAAAAAAATCTTCCCCAGGCCCCAGTGGATGAAGCGCCACCCTGCGGCTCAAAGGATCTCAGTTCACTTCCGGTCAAAGGCATGTACCTTGGCTGCAGGCTCCTCCCCAGCCCGGGCTTTGGTTGGGTATATGCAGGAGGCAACCAATGGATGAAGAAGTTTCTCATTATCTTCCCTCTCTCTTCCACTCTCCCTGAAAATCAATGAAAAAATAAGCTTGGGTGAGGATTCACAACTACCAGAAAAACCAGTTCCAGCATGTCATAACTGAGAGCTTCACTGAAAGGTTGATGGAACCTGGGGACTCAACAAGGGCTGAGTCACATACTTTATCTATCACCTGCTGGAATAGCTAAAGGCATTTCCCCAAACCTGAAAGAGATGCATAAATTGATTGTTTGCTGCCAGACAGCTCAGGGCATCTTAAACTACATGTTATTGCCTCCTGTTGGCCAAACACCTGAACAGCTGTAGGCTATTCCCCCAAACTGACAATGGATTCTGGACCTAACCCTCCCTTTTGATGTGTATATCTCTACCTCGCCTTAGGACAAATTGAGTTAATAAAAAGCAAGGGGTCCTGAGACGAGGAGAAGGTGGTTTCTTCAGCCAATCTCCTATGCCCTCCCCTGCCCCGGAACCTAAAGATCTACCTATGGAAAACAGAGAAACTGAAAAGGAGGAGAGGCCAGTGTCCCGTGAAGCAGGAGAGAAAGAAGCCAAGTCTGATTGTCTTATCTGTGGTCCCTGTCTCCTTCTTGCACAATCTAGAGGAAGATTTTTGTTGTTGTGTACCGCCGGTGGTCTTGAACAGGCATCTAGAAGGGTTCAGGAACCTGGAGAAGGGCTTGTGCAAATTGTCCAAATGCCTTTCAAAATTATGTTTCATCCTGGTCAGCCACTTGGGCCTGCTTTTCCTTTGCTCCTCTTTCCCTTCAGTATGCCCTTTTTATCTGCAGATTTATCCTTTCCTTCCACCTTTTTTGGCTTCATCCCCCGCCCCCTTTTTTCCTTCTCTTGCAGGAACAGGTTTGGCTAACAGCCTGGCTGACCTCCTCCTAGGCTCCTCCTTTGCAGCCTATAGGGGAGCTGCCTTCCTCTTGGGCACCATGGAGTGGCAGGCAGCTGGGGGCCTGAAGGCTGAGCCTTTGAGAACCTGAGTTGATTGGCTGCTGCCGCTTCTCCAGCCATCCCAACTGCCCAAGCCCCGCTGAGTGGGGAGCACAGCCTCAGGTCCCCTACCCAGGCCAGGTGCCACAAAGTCTCGGGTCCCTGCTGAATGCTCGTTAAGGCTCGTTACAGGAACTCAGCCTCTGCTGTAGGTGCAGCCATCTTGTGTTATGGAAACCTTCTACCTCTGCTGTGGGTGCTGCCATCTTTGTTGCGGTGTGACAGTCAATTTGCACATTCCCTCTTTGTTAGATTAGATATAAACTAGAAGCTCAGTGCATGAAATTGGTGCATGGGGGAGGGGAGTGTCCACCAGCCTGCCCGCATCCTCTTGCAATCCTGGACTGCTGGCTCGTAACTGCCCGATTGCCTTGCCTGCCTGCCTGCCTGCCTGATAGCCCCTAACTGCCCGCCTGCCTGATCAACCCTAACCACTTGCCTGCCTGCTTGATCGCCCCTAACCACCTCTGCCTTGCCCCCACCTCTGCGGCTTCATCTGGAAGGACGTCCAGAATGACATCAGGAAGGTCATTTGGCTGTCTGGTCTAATTAGCATATTATACTTTTATTATTATAGATTATTATTGCTAAATTTAGCATCAGTAAGAGCAGTTCAGTTTCCCATGTTCCAGGGAAAGTATTATAACAAAAAGGATCTTTCTTGACCAAAACTAAGCATCTTTCTTTTTTAATATATTTTATTGATTTTTTTACAGAGAAGAAGAGAGAAAGATAGAGAATTAGAAACATTGATGAGAGAGAGACATCGATTAGCTACCTCCTGCACACCCCACTGGGGATGTGCCTGCAACCAAGGTACATACCCTTGACCAGAATCGAACCCGGGACCTCTCAGTCCGCAGGCCGATGCTCCATCCACTGAGCCAAACCGGTTTCAGCCTTAATCCTTTTCTAATGAGCACTTACCACCAATGACTGTTTAACAGAATTGACTATTAGCCTTTTATATTGGTCAAAGAGCCTTTTGAAAATCCAATGTCATTTCTCCAGAAAATGCATGTTTGCCCAAAAATTTTGCATGTGATTTCCAAGTTCACAAGTTCCCATTTATTCCATCCAGACCCCCACTAAAAATTCTCAAAGAAAATTTAGTTTTTCTTTAAAAAAAAAAAATTGTTTATTTCAGAAAGGAAGAGGGAGAGGTAGAAATATCAATGATGAGAGAGAACTACTGATTGGATGCCTTCTGCATGCCCCTTACTGGGGACCAAGCCTGCAACCCAGGCATGTGCCCTGGCCAGGAACAGAACCAAGAACCCTATCACTCAGCAGAACCAACTAGGGCAGAAATTTAGTTTTCCTTCTCTTTTTTTAAGTTATGAAGAAGAAGAAAAAAAAACTTTGAAAATGGCAAAGGTCTGGTAATATATCAGATATAAAATTATTTTTGAATGGTTTCTTTTGAGCAAAAGGGACAGAAAATCTGAAAAAGCAAACTCTGAAAATACAATTAATATTACTAATAGCTTTAGGTCCCCTACCTCCCCCCTCCCCATACAAATCCAAAGTAGCCCAGAATATTCATCCTAATAAGATTTTAAACATATGAAACAAACAGCAATTCCAATGTTTTGCTTGTAGCTAGGCTTAAGTCTTGTATTACAATGCCCATTCCAAAATCACCCACTGACCTTTGTAATCTTTCAAACTAGAAATCTGTTCAACTCTTCATCTTTATAATCCTATACACTCCCGGCTGATGGAGTTATACATTGCTTTATAATGTTCCTTCCGCTCTGGCCTCTCCTCTTAGTTACTTCAATATTAGCTTGTACAGCATTTTGAAAAAAGCAAATTGTGAAACCACAGGTTACAAATCTTTCAATCATCATGACAGGCTGCGGTAAAGAAATATACTTTCAAACTCTTAAAATTACTTTTAAAATGTCAGAGAATTGTCATATGTAGGGAGTTTCAGCTACAAAACTTATTTAAAACTTTGCATTAAGTAAGAAGGTGACCGGTTTAGCTCAGTGGTAGAGCGTCGGTCTGCGGACTGAAGGGTCCCGGGTTCGATTCCGGTCAAGGGCATGTACATTGGTGGCGGGCACATCCCCAGTGGGGGGTGTGCAGGAGGCAGCTGGTCGATGTTTCTGTCTCATCGACGTTTCTAGCTTTCTACCCCTCTCCCTTCCTCTCTGTAAAAAATAAATAAAATATATTAAAAAAAAAAAAAAGTAATAAAGTGAAAAACAAAGGTGCTTTAAAACTTACGTTTTGCTTCTGATAGATTCTGATTAGGTGACCAGACCAGCATCCCAAGATTGTCTCGTTCTTGACTGCGTCTTGCTAATTTGGCTTGGGAGAAATAAAAAGAGAGAATGCTTGTAATTTAACAGACATGTGAAGAATGATCTACACGACTCTGATCTTGAAACTCAGAACCTGATGCCGTCACCCAACCTGGACTGAAAGCCGCACAATAGAGCCTGCACACCCGCCCCCACCACAGGGCAGCGGGGCGTGGGCAGGCTCTGAATCCCCGGAAACACTCCTAAGCCTTTTCCTACTTATCCCTATTTAACAAGCAGGTGTAATTATCATCTTCATCCTAGACAGGTCATTTGGCTGGAAGGACGGAGTCAGGACTGAACTCAGACTGGCTCGGCACTCCAGGCTTAAATTAAAGCACTGTACACGAGGATGCTGTTTTCAGACTTGGGACATCCAAAAGGGAAGCTGCCCCAAGATTTTCTTAAAACATGAATCCTTCCGATTGGTTAGAATACCCTCTCCCTTCTCTGCCAGTGTAACCTTTGGGTGGCTTGACAACAGGAATCCAAAGATTCTTTCAAAAACTGTATTGAAGAACTAGAGGCCTGCTGCACGAATTCCTGCATGGATGGATCCCTCAGGGTGGCCGGCGGGGGTCGGGCTGCAACCCGCAGTCCAGCACCACCTGCAGCTCCTACCCGCTGCGCCTGCTCACCCCGGTCCCTGTGCCTGCCGCGGGCTCACGCCCACCCAGTCCCGAGAGGCCGCTCCACGGCAGCAGCGCTCAGCAGCTGTGAGCCCCGCATCTGGTGCCCCTGAGAGGAGTGCCTTGTGGGATCGGGCCAAAGCCAGCTCTCCAACATCCCGGGGGGTCCCAGGTGCAGGCCAGGTTGAGGGACCCCACCAGTGCATGATTGGTGCTGGGAAGGGAGTGTGGGAGGGCTCCAGGGCAAGTCTGGCCCCTTTTTGCCCAGACCCCAGCAGCAAGCTAACCTACTGGTCAGAGGGTCTGCCCCCTGGTGGTCAGAGCTCATCATAGCAAGTGGTTAAGCAGTCTTACCATATCATTATCATACTATGCTTTGATTGGTTGAACAGTTGGCCAGTCACTGGATGACAGGACACTTAGCATATCAGGCTTGTATTATATAGGATAACTTATTAAAAAGATTTAATTTGAAAGGAAACTTCTGAAGTGCATTCAAATTCTTAAAAATATGTGATACAAAACAAATAGGCCCACAGGTGTACAAGTGCCAGAAGAAAGAAGGAAATCTTGCTATTTATGACAACAGAAATGGATTTGGAGGGGGGGGGGGGGTAGAGATTTGCTAAGTGAAATAAGTCAATAAGTCAGACAGAGAAAAATAAATACCAAGAATCCAAGATGGCTGCCCCGGTAAACACCTAGCCGCAGCCGCACACAACAATTTCAATAAAATACAACTAAAATATAAAATGGACATTACCCAGAACTACAGGAGAGTCGACTGACTGGAAATTCTACAACGAGAAGCAAGGAGAAAACCAGAAGGAAGCGCGGAGAAGCTGGAAAAGCCTAAGGTACAGAGACATGCGGCGCGCAGAGAGGACAGAGCCGGAGAGGAGGGGCGGCTAAGTGCCTGGCTGGCGTTCCCTAGCGGGAAGGAGATAAAAGCTCCGACTGTGCTGGGCCCCAGGTCCAACTGCTCTGAACCTCAGTTCTAGGCCAGACCCCGGGGACCCAGGCTCATCCATAGGGAGCTGGGCTGTAAGGCGGAACCCCAGGGGAGCGGCAAAAGGAGGTCGGAGGCGCGCACATTGTGTGCAGAGAAGGGACGGTTGGCTGTGCCACAGGATTGCCCTGGTGGGAAGGAGACAGGGGCTCCAGACTGCTCTGAACGCCACCTCCAATCCCACTTCCAACTGAACTGAACCCCAGTTCCGGGCTCATTGGGGGAGAGCATAGACTGTTTGGTAGCAGGCGAAAATCGAGGGCGCCTTTCTCTCAGAGGCGCTTGCAGCGAGCACTGAAGGACCCTGAGACCCAGGAGCCGCATAGGGCAGGGCTGATGGAAGCCAAGGCTGCAGGCTGCACCCTGAACTCTGCCCCATCTGTAGCTGCGAAAATGCAACAACGAAATAGATCACAAACGAAAGAAATGGAGGACAAAAAGCGACTGGATATAGAGTTCAAATCTACGCTTACAAGGTTTTTCAAGAATTTCCTAGAAAAGATCGACAAGACCTATGAGGATATGAAAAGAGATCAACTAGAATTAATAAGGAATCAACAAGAAATGATAAGGGATCAACAAGAAATAAAGAATACATTGTCTGAAATAAAAAATATTATACAGAGTCCTAAAAACAGAATGAAAGTCGCAAGAATCAAGTCAAAGATTTGGAACATAAAGAGCCAGAAGACACTCCTCCACAGAAGCTAGAAGGCAAGAGAATCCAGAAAATTGAAGATAATGTAAGAAACCTCAAGTGAACCAACATCAGAATTATGGGGGTCCCAGAAGATGAGAGAGAGCAAGATATCCAAAACATATTGAAAGAAATAGTGACAGAAAATTTCCCCCACCTGGTGAAAGAATTAGACTTTCAAGTCCAGGAAGCGCACAGAACTCCAAACAAAAGGAATCCAAAGAGGACCACACCAAGACAAATCATAATTAAAATTCCAAAAGCAAAAGACAAAGAGAGAATATTAAAAGCAGCAAGAGCAAAGAAGGTAGTTACCTATAAAGGAGCACCTATATGATTGTCAGCTGATTTCTCAACACAAACCATGCAGGCCAGATGGGAATGGCAAGAAATATTCAAGGTGATGAATGGTAAGAACCTACAGCCAAAGATAATCTATCCAGCAAAGCTATCACTCAGAATCGAAGGTCAGATAAAGAGCTTCACTAATTAAAAAAAGCTAAAGGAGTTCATCAACACCAAACCAAAATTATATGAATTGCTGAAGGGGGTTCTTTCAGAAGAGAAAGTAAATAAAGATAAAAATTATGAACAACAAATACGTAACTGTCAACAAGTGAATCTAAAAGCCAAGGAAATTAAAAAAAATAAATCTGATGAACTGTAGAATATAATAGAATCAGAGGTATGGAAGGGGAGTGAACTGATGATTCTTGGGGAAAAGGGGAGAGGGGGATGTGGGAAGAGACTGAACATAAACTGTGCACCTATGGATGAGGACACTGGGGAGTGGGGAAAGGGCAGAGGGTGGGGTGGGAACCTGGTGGAGGAGAGCAATGGGGGGGGGGGGGGGGAGGAAGGAACATTTGCAATAATATGAACAATAAAAATTTATTTAAAAATAAATTAAAGAAATAAATAAAAAGAAATACCATATGATCTTGCTAATATATGGAATCTAAAAAAGAAAATAAAGAAACAAACTCACAGATACAGAGACAATTTTGATAGCTGAAACATGAAGGGGGTTTGGGGAAGAGATTAAGAAGTACAAATTGCCAGTTATAAAAACAGTCACAGGGATGTAAAGTACAGCATAGGGAATATAGTCAGTAATATTAAAATAACTACTAGAGTGGCAAGAAATAGTCAAAGTGATGAATAGCAAGAACCTACAACCAAGAATACTCTATCCAGCCAAGCTGACATTCAGAATTGAAGGTCAACTAAAAAGCTCACAGATAAGAAAAAGCTAAAGGAGTTCATCACCATCAAACCAATATTATATGAAATGCTAAAAGGTATTCTCTAAGAAGAGGAAGAAGAAAAGGTAAAAATAAAAATTATGAACAAATACATATCTATCAACAAGTAAATCTAAAAATCAAGTGAATTAAAAATCTGATGTACAAACCAATGGACACAAAACTCTGTATGGGGGGGGAGGCAATTTAAAAATATGTACACAGATAATAATGTAATTAAAAATTTTTTTTTAAATAAATAAAATAAAAATCTGATGTACAGCCAAAACTGGTTTGGCTCAGTAGATAGAGCATCGGCCTGCGGACTAAAGGGTCCCGGGTTCGATTCTGCTCAAGAGCATGTACCTTGGTTGCAGGTACATCCCCAGTGGCGGGTGTGCAAGAGGCAGCTGATCGATGATTCTCTCTCATCGATGTTTCTAACTCTCTATCCCTCTCTCTTTCCTCTCTGTAAAAAATCAATAAAACATATTTTTTAATAAATAAATAAAAAATAAAAACCTGATGTACAGAATAAACTGGTGACTATAAAGAATAAGGGGCACACTGTCAGCAGATGATTGGATCAAAAAACTATGGTACATCTACACAATAGAATACTATGCTGCCATAAAAAAGAAGGAATTCTCATCATTTGCAGCAACCTGGATGGAATTGGAGAACATCATGCTGAGTGAAATAAGCCAATCAATGAAAGAGAAACACCACATGACCTCACTCATTTATGGATAATAAAGAACATTATAAACTAATGAACCAAAAGATAGATATAGAGACAATGGAGCAACGGGCGGACTGTCCAATTGCGGTGGTTAGGGGAGGGAGATCTGGGGGAGATAAGAGATCAACCGAAGGACTTGTATACATGCACATAAGTACAACCAATGGACACAAAACTCTGGGGAGGGAGGGGATGTTTGGAAGGGGGGGGGGGGGCAAAAAAATCAGTAAAATATATTAAAAATAAAAATAAATAAATAAAAAAGAATAAAGGGCACAGAAAAGGAGTGGACTGAAAATTCTCAGTGGGGAAGAGAGGTGGGGTGTTGGGAAGAGACTGGACAAAAATTGTACACCTATGGATGAGGACAGTGTGAGTGGGGGGTAAGGGAAGAGGGTGGGATGGAAAGCAGGTGGAGGGGAGCTATGGGGGGGAGGGAAGAAGAACAACAACTGTAATAAACTGAACAATAAGGATTTGTTAAATTTTAAATAAATAAATAAAATAACTACTAGAGGCCAGGTGCACAAAATTCATTCATGGGTGGGGGGGTCCCCTCAGCCCAGCCTGCACCCAATCCAATCTGACATCCCTCTCACAATCCAGGACTGCTGGCTCCCATCCGCTTGCTTGTCTGCCTGCCTGCCTGCCTGCCCCTAACCATTTCTACCTGCCAGCCTGATCAC